AAATGAGAGACTGCAAGCAAAAAAAGAGGATGAAAACAAAACCAAGGAACTGGTGGCTTTGAATCTCCTACAACAGCACATACCCACTGTGCCTCTTTTAAGAATCACTTGGAAACAATTGTATATTGATAACTTCCATGTGTGGTTAACGGTGTTTTATAGTTTCATTGGCTACAGAAATAACTCTGAACACTACGTACCATTTGGCACACATTGAAAGGCTTCATGCCTTTGTCTCTTTGAAGATACCATATCTGAGCCTTAATTTTCATTTTAAGGAGCTGCTGTACCAACTTAGCAGTTACGTCATATATTAAAAGCAGATGCTTGTGAGAGGCAAGAACCTCCTCAGTAAAACAATGACAGCAAACCAAACCCAGCCCCAACTTGGAAGGGTTTTGGGGTTTTTTGTTATTGGCAGGGCTGTAAATTCAAGTACTTGAGGCTTTTAAAAGATTGTAGGAACAGACCAAGGAGCTACTTGCTGAGTCCTTCTTAGATGCCAGAATTTCAGGACCTAATGTTAAGCATATATGGACAGAGTTAGACAAACAGATCCAATAGCTCACAGAGATCTCTTGGGCCTTCCTCCCATCACAGCTGTCCTCTTCCTCCGTCCTCTTCCAACCCATGCAGCCCAGCCCCTTCCTTTCTTTTGCTCCGCTGCTTCTGCCTCTTTGCTGAGCTGATGAGCCCAGCAGAGCAAACTCACACTGTCTCATATAATCTCAAATTATCTCAAATTAAGCTGGGTACCTAAAACACATCAGCATCCTGCTGTCTCGTGCCTTCCAGGCATGAGTCTCCTGTTAATTGTTCTTTTTCTCTGTGCAGCAATTCCCACTACTGTCAATAGCAACATGGCCAACAAGGGCTTCTGCGCTTGACTGTGGAGTGTGTGGGCAAGGAAAGCAAGGGAGAAGGGGCAGAGGGGCTGTCTCTCTGGCACCAAGCCACACAGTCCTGGGCATCACGCTGTCTGCAGCCAGGGCATCCCCTCAGACCCAGACTTGGGGGGAAGGGGTGGGAAGCATTTGCCAGAGTGTTTCTAATCAGGTTCCAGTACTGACCCTTGATTCGGGGAAGACAGGAGGATTCAGCATTACAGGTCCTGCTGTATCACTTGTCCTCAGGGCCTGGCAACATGGCTGGGTTTGGGTGGCGATTTTTATCAAAGTGGTATCTCCCAAACCAGGCCTGGATAAGGCCACAGAAAGGGTCTGCTGGTGCAGGAGAGAAATCCTCTGGCTGAGGCCCAACATTGTGCATTCATGCTGGGATCTAGCTGTGTGCCCAGCCTACTCCCACCTGCCCCACAGCACACCGTGGGGATTCCCTCCCTCTCTGGAGGAAGCATTGGAGATGCAGTGAAGAATCACTCATGCATCAAGAGGATGCAGTTTAAGCTCATTTTCCTGCTGCTTTCACCTAACTTTGGAAATTCTAACAAACCATTTCTCTACTAGCTTCACATCAATGGAAAACCAAAACACAGTTATTCACAACTGCTAACAGGAGGGGGAACAACATATTTACTGCAAACACAATGCCAGCAGTTTATGCTCCACCCCTGCCTTGGGAATCTGGAAATGCTTCAGTGTCAGAACAGAATAAAAGCCCTGGCCTCCAGCTCACTAGAAAATGTCATAAAAATACATAAGGAACCATGCTATAAAGAAAACAACCCACAACTTCAGAGTTGTTTTTAAGATCAACTCAAACCACCAGTTCAAGTCTGCCTTGAAGAGAAAACAACTCCTACTCTGAGAATCTTATTAACAAAAAGAAAAAAGGACAAAAAGGGAATTCTTCCCTGATTCCCACTAATGCAAGGATCACAAATAACTGAAAAGTCATCAGTTACTGTTATAAGAGCTAGAAACACAAAGAAGGAATCAATTTGGAGCAGAGAGCTTTTAGCAGTTCCTTATGTGAAGACTCTTAAAGAGGTCTAGAAACAATTCTGTAGAACTTTCAGTTCATGTGCTCTTCTCTGCTCCCCTGCCTCTAGAAACATGTATTACTTATTTCCCCAGGAGTTCCCCATAGGCAACTGCCATAAAAATGGAGCACCTTGCCATAGGACTGTGACAGTTTGAACAGAACTGGACACACGCACAATCCATATCCTTACTAGAAGCCTTCTGAGCATGGGAAGTGCTCGCTCGTACTGTCCTTCTAGCAAACTGCAACAAAGCAATACCAAGCTCCTTGCCACTCATTTTGAACACCCACAAGATAAATGCAGTACAGACAGGGGAAGTAATGTCAACATTTTGGAGGCTGCAGCCAGCAAGCTGCATTGCACAACAGCATGGAAGGGGGCAGAGTAAGGGTGAGAGCTCAGCAACTGCAGAGGAAGGTGGTGGTGGTGGTGGAACTGGGGAACATCAATTAACAAAAAAACCCACGAAGCAACCAAGAAGTAACTTGGGAATTATTTTTTATGAAAGAGTAATACTCAGTATTACAATACTTATCATTAAATCCTCTTCCCCCCAAGACAAATATACTCACACTTTTCTCTGAATCATCCCCTCTTCTAAAGAAGGGCAGAAATGGGAAGCTTGTACATGTACACCTTTAAAAAAACAAACGTACACTTCAATGTTTACAATGTTTTTGATAGGACAATCACTTTATTACAAAGAACAAACAATGCTTCAAAATAAGACTGATCAACTTCAATTGTACAAAATGTCAGTTTCCTTGTAGAGGTCATTAAGTAACAGGCCATAAGACTAAGTTCACGTCAAATCCGCTATCCTGAAATATCAGATAACAACAGTAATACTTATTATATCTTCAGAGTTTATGGCATGATCATGTGCTCTACTCCAAACTACATTCAAAAGATATTGCTATAATTACTTGGAAAACACAGAGTGTAGGTTATTGTTCATTTCCATTTTCACAAGGACATTCTTAAGGTGAAGCTGTAACAGTGTCTGCCAGAACTGGCGTGACTGTCCTACACTTAGACAGTCACAGCTTCCCTAAGGAGTTTAGTAAACCTAGACATTTCTACAATATGGATACTGTCATCCAATACATTTCAGCTTCTGTTACATGTCCCTTAGCAATATATGAAATAAATGGAAAACACAGATTCTCAAAGTGCTGATGTCAACAGACTTGCAAACTAATTTATAATTGAACAATCGGTACTTGTCTGGTATCTAGTTGATAGGCAAACAGGTGGGATTTAGGCATTATAAATACAATTCTAAAAACAGACCACAAAGTGTATTTTACAGCGTGTACCACAATTTCATTTTAAAGTAAAACTGTGAGGAACTGAAGATTTGCATATTATCACTATTCCACATCACCCAACTTGGACAAAGAAGAGAAAGTGACATCTGATGTCAAGTCAGCTGAAGAAAGCACACTTACAAGGAAATTATACTTTCATTGAAAATGCCACAGTTTTACCCTTTGGTACGTGTGACATACCCACTGGAAAAGAAATTGTGCAAAGCATGTGAAACCAAGTGCAAAAAAACTCCAACCAGACATACCCAACAGATTTTATTCTTAAATAACTACTCTACAATCACAGCTATCAACCAACAAAATCAAAGCCACAAGTGTTTTCTCTAAGGGCTTCTTTCACAGTACTAATAAGAAAAACCAAGTTCTATTTGTCTAGTTAAACGGCTCATGTGTATGGCGTTTTAGTTATCAGACAGTATTGGTAGTGAGATCACACCTGATAAAATGGACCATTCAAACACAAATATTTTAAAGCCAGGTAACTTCAGGAAAAGTCTTATACATTCGTACTATAGACACTGTTTTAAAGTGAATCTGGGATATCTGTCATTGTCATAAACCACGTGTATTACTCCCATGCCACAGTTCACACCACTGTAGCAATGCATGGTCCCCAGCACTTTCTATATGCTATTATAGCATGTGATGTGTTGCGATAATTAAGGCTGTATCAGCACTTCCATTACAACCCTGATTTTCAGGGTAGCTAAAACTTGGCCATTAAATCCACTCTAGGATATCTGAGCTGTTAAATCTCTTCATATTTTAGCGATACTTCTCCCACCAAACCAGGCACAATTATTTCTTTTAGTTTATATATTTACAAACACTCTTAAGACAAATTTAACTGGCAGAGGCAAGAAATTCTACCTTGATTTATAGTCTTTTGGCATTTGGAGCAAAATTAAAGTGCAAAGTATAAACTTTGTTGCACAGTAAATAATTTAGATTTTAAAATAAATCTTATTTAGGTGCCTCAATCTGTTTACCTAGTGACTTTGTCCAACTCAGCCATTTTCCTCTACACTTTGGTAAACATAGGTTTATATATAGATACATAAATAGCATTTAAAATGTTTACCTTTATTTCACTACTGTGAACAATTTTTTTTTCTTTTAGCATAGGAATGGATCAACCTATTCCTAGAAGTAATGCTTGTTGAATTTATCAGCTAGCTAGTTAATGTAAAATGATGCATAGTAAAAGGGAGATACTGAACTTGATTGGTAGAATATACTGGTAAAGCAAACAAGCACTTAAGAAGATTAACTGGAATAAATATGTTGAAAGTTGCCATATAACATGTGCAAAATTGCTTACCATGTATCCTAAACTTTGGTTAAAATTTTCAGATTGAAGTTTTACAGAAACATTATGGAAGCAACACAAGTGATTACAAACACAGGAATGAGGTAAGTTATTATTAGTGCAAAAAGCAAGCATATGCTAAAAGCAAAGCATATGGATTTAAAAAAAGAGAATGAATCTCATGGAAGTTTTAACACAAGACCAGAAAGGTCTCTTGTAAACATTGGTATTTACAAGTTTAAGATTTGTACAACTACAAAAGGACAATTCTAAATATTAGTAGTGCATTTACAATGAATTTACGTTTGTTTTTTTTAATAAGAGCAATGGCTAAGTTTATCTTTTTCCTTTTAAATCTTCAGGGGATATCTTTCAAGATTAAGATATTTGTTACAAATAGTAGAAAAATTGTTTCTTTACAAAAAAATTATATATTAAAATATTTATACATTTAAAGTTACTATATAATAACTGGAAATTTTTGCCTTGTACTCAGGCACCAGAATGAAGAATGTGGTAAAATGAACTGAAACCAAACAGAATTTGCTGATATACCAAATCTCATTAATTATCTATGCAAGGTCTGGAGCAATCATGGGAACTCTACCTCAAATACTACTGCATGTGCCAATCATTTATTTATTTTTACTTTGAAACTGTGTCTCTTTTTACAATTTATCTATCACTACCAAAAAAGAGTACTGGATAGCGTAGGGTCCTCCTCCTCACCATCTTCAATATAGTTTCTATATGGTACTCATACCTGAGCAAGGCTGTATAACGCTCATGTTTCAAACGTAAAAAAGGTTATATATTTTTAAAGATAAAAACAATGCAAAAATAAAATATTTGTAGCATTTACAAATAGTACAAGAGTTACATTAAACACTACATTCAACACTTGAGATTTATATGTTGTTTCTACTTTGAGCTTGATGTTTTCATATCTGCAAAAAAGAAGGGAGACGCTGTTAAAATGCTTCATAATTTCACAACAGATACATGGTTAAATACTTTCAAACAACTATTGTTGGAGTGTTCTGGCACACAAATGACGGTCAAAACCCTCGCCAATTAAAGGGTTAAAATAGTAGCAGAATAGTAAACATTACAGAAGACAACTTATCCATTGTTGCTCTGCATCTTAGGAAAACACATGTCAAAAAACCAGCAGTGCTGTTCTACTCAACAGTTTGCTTTTCAATCACACCTTGTGGATCACAGCCCACAAGCTCAGAGGTCAGTGAGCAGTGACACAAGGGTTCATTGCTCCCCGAGGGGGTGGGCACACTCCTTTGCTCTGCCCTTCCTAACCTTCCTCCATGCTCACAGAAGCCAGCTCTGAACTAACAGAAAGCTAGGCAAGAAGGGGGAAGGAGTGAGATGAGAGGAGAAGCCAGCAAAACTTCTTGTTTTGAGCCTCTGGACTGGCTTACTTAAAAGGTGAGCCAGAACTGATCAAGCTAAAACCCAATCTTTATTTTCAGTGGATCCATTCCCAACAACTCCTCATGAACCTGTACAAATTCAAGTGCAGGGACGAGGGGTCAAAACTGTTTCTGATGCTAATACATACTTCAAAGTGTATATGCATCACAAAAACACACCTCATGTCACCTTAAGAAATTTTTTTCTAATAAGAAGGGGAAAAGATTGAAAAAAACCTGATTATACCTGTGCATGTCGCTGGATTACTTATTGGAATGAAAAAAATTTGAGCTGAAGTGAAGCCCAGGGAAATCAAAAGCTTATCTGGCTTTTAGTATTTAAGGGACTGGGTAAGACTTGAAAATCAACATTTTGGTACTTGCTTGTCTTTGTGAACAAATGCAACAATTTTTGTAAAACCTTATGTCAAATTCAACAACTAAATAGTCTTAAAACTTCTGTAAGGAACAAAATTACGTTTCAAGAATGTCACATGCACTGCTAAGAAAAGCACTGGTTCCAGAAACATACATCCATGCCATCTTCTCAGCCACATCTACTAGCCATTTAAATGCTGCACCCAACATTTACTTTACCTTGAAGCCATCGAACTTGTGTGGCTGGTCCATATCCTCTCTCATTCTTTGCTGAGATTCTGAACACTATTGCAGGTCGGGAAGTGTAATCAACATGAGCATTAGAAAGCTGGGCAGCAGTCACTATACATGACGTTTTAAGACCACAGTATATTCTCATAAAGACAAGCTGACTTGGATTTTCCTGCAATTGCGTGGAACGGATTGCTAAGTAGGCAGAATATTCTAAAATATTCCCAGAGGGTGAAGCAGGAGGCTCCCAAGAAAGATGAATACAGTCTACACTCTGAAGAAAAAGGGAGAAAATATATATACATATATAATATTGAATATAAAATATAAAAAAACCCACAACCAAACCCAGGTGTTCTAAAGAACATCTGAAAACTCTAGCATAACATCATCACTCTTTGGAGGTGAAGATGTGTCTGTTGACTTTTTTTTAAAAAGCATGGTAAAGCCTTGCAGATTCACAGATGCAGAATTAGAAAATCATGGGGAAACTATCAGATGATGGTGTAAGATGTGTACCTTTTAACATGATCATTAAGTCTTAAAATAATTTGTTGTTCTTAAAGAATATTACATTGAGTAGAATTAACCAATTAAGCATTTGATACTCTTTTATATTAAAACTTTAACTTGGAAAAAAACCCCAACAACAAACCAACCAAAACCAATAGTTCTGAGACTAAGCTTGAGAATTTTATCCAAAAGAACTACAATTACTTGTATTTCTCACCTTGGTAATTTTGACTGTTGAAGGAGCTCCAGGAAAACCCGGAATGCAAGTTTTGAATTCACTGACTTTACTGAAAGGTCCAACACCACATCCATTAATTGCAGCAACTCTGAACCTATACACTGTGCCTGGAAAAAGATCCTGTTTCTTAAGTAACCTGTAGTCTGGTACATCTGCACTTTCCATCTGAAAATCAAGCAACATTTGTGTTAATTTTAAAAAATTTATTAAAACAATTAGCCTAAAAAATATAAAGTGGGCAGTGATAAACTGAGATTAAGTTTAATTTTAGCTAAAGTTTAATTTTAACTAAGTATTGATCTAACACTTTTGTACTTGAATCAAAAGTTACAAAAAGGTTCTAAATGAGGCATTGCTCACCTCAAAGCAGGTCATCTAAGAAGCAACCTGAGACTACATCTCTAAGGAAAAAAACCCAGTCTTTCAGCCATATAAATGAAACTGCACCTCTTGGTCATTTTTACTGGGGAACTAGAAGTAAAGCAGCATTTCCAACTGCATAGCTTACGATGCAATTAGCATACTCTTCTGTCCCCCCAAAATATTTTTCTTTCAAAACCAGTTATTCCTATAGTTAGGAGTTGCAATTTGATGAGTAGGTAATGACAATGTTTTTAAATAAAGGCACCATAACTTGGTAACAAATAGGCTTCTGAAACACTATGTGCTACTCCCATGTTTAAAATATTCATTGATGCATCCTTGAAACTTCCAATGGAACTACCTTCCTTCTGAATAATGTATAAGAAATCACAGTAAGTGTAAACACTGTAAAATGTACTATGCTCTTTAAAACTAAGCTGTGCAGTACTTATAGTGAAGTGCTTTCTTTGCAAGTCTTCTGTTCTTTTGCTTGTCTCAAGAAAACATATTCCCATATTTTTTTTATTTTGCTTGTACATTATTAATTTACACTTTCAGCAAAGCCTCAAGATTCTTGCAAGTTTTGCATATACAGCATTATCATAAATTAATTCACTTGTGCAACAATGCAAAGTTACAGAAAAAAAATACAAAATTCACTACAGTTCCATATCTAGTATTTTTAAACAACCTAGCCTATGTCTTATTAGTATATTTAACAATATGCAAACAAAGATTCTGGAAACAGATATGAAACTTTTATCAAAGCATTTGAATGCTGTACTGAAGTAACATTAAAAAGTTGAGGTTTTTTAAAGACTTTTTACTGCTCTGAAAGTTCAGTATGTTTAAAATCCTTTCCTAAGGCTAGAAATGTAAGTATAGAAAGAACTAGCAATAATAAGACATTCTGTATTTTCATAGAAGAACAACAGAAGATAATTAATCTGATTTAGGAAATTGTAAAAAAGTGTGAGCAAAACAGAGGAGGAACTACATGGTCAGAAAATACAAAGCTATAAGCACCAGAGCCTGCAACAGTATCAGAAAATCCCACATTTTGTAAATCATATGAGCAACAGATTACAAAGTGCATATGTGCGAGTAGATTAGAGAAGAATTGGGAGCTACCTTGTTAGAGAGGCTCAGCATTTCCTCTGGCAGTAAGTAGAACTGGCTAACCACAGCACTGTTGTTCTTAAAAATTCCAACATCATACCACTGCCGGTCTCTTGTTTTCACTGGTGCCATTGGTCTTTGTGGAGTTTTCTAGTATTTGAAAACACGTTATGTAGACAACAAATACTTCAATGTAACGTAAAAAAAATATTAAGACTATTATATGTAAGAGACAACCCCCTTTCACGCCAGTGTTGCTTTCTTACACTTCAAAGGAATATGCATGTAATATTAAAATACCGTTCAAAACGAACTGGTTCTTAGACATTGATTTAGACACTGTCCATCATTCAAGAAAGGAAAAAAATAAACACTTGGGATATCACCTCTGACATTCTAGTTTAAACAAGGAGGGGAAGTTTAAAGCTGTAGAACTAGGTGTCTGTAGCAGCATGTAGTTTTGAGTTCATTTCAACCAGAGTTTAAGAAGTTTCACAACCTGGTCCAACATCAGTAGCTCTACCTGTGATTCAGCTATACCTCAGCCCCAAACAGATTAACTTTCAAGCTGCTGCTGAACTGGCCTGCAGTTGAGAACAGGGCCTCTGCTGTGGCAGGGGGCAAGGCAACTATTCCTGACTGACCCAGAAAGACAAACCATCTTTCTTGCTTGTCTCCAGGCACCATGGAGGGTGCTTGCACAGTCTGTGACCAGCACTGACAGGCCATGATCCTGCTAGCGTGGAAAAGGGGAAGGAGTGGCAGCTGCTATTGGAAAAAGCACCCCAACCCTTTAGTAAGAGCTGCTTCTTCCCATTCTTAGCTACTCTCTTTTGGAGGCAACAATGGCACCTTGGTTTTGTGTATTAAGTTGTAAGCAGGCGAAATAGGAAGCATTTACTTTTTCAGGCAGTATTTACAGCTTGCATAGTCAGTCCCCATCTCCTCTAGGGAAAAACATCAAGATATCAGTTTAGTTACGTTTCAAACCTGTAGATCAGCAGCTAACACTAGTGTGATCTAAAACATACTTCATTTTAAACTCAGAAAAAACATTTTACATTTGCACATCATGCAGCAGAGACCATTCCAGTGTGCCAGTCTGTAAAATGATTGAACAGCTGAAACACATACTTGGATCTCCTCCCAGCTACACAACTGCTACTTAGTCTCAAGTCAAAGCCACAAAAACGCCGCTAGTTTTACAACAGAAATGTTTACCACTGTACTATTCACTTCAAGCCCTAAATATACATTGCTTTTCTTTCAGAGACATAGTTAAAGGAAAACAGAAAAGCCCTCACAACTAATAAACAGAACAATAAATACAGCAATTTGATCATACTTTTTCAGACTTACAGAGGAATGTGGATCATTTGTCTGTCCGATACTGACCCTTGTTGAAGGCATAACACAAGCAGTTTCAGCAGCTAGAAACGGAAAGTTGTGTTAAAAATGTTAAGTGACATGAAAAATTTAACACAAAGTCCACAGTGCATGAAAGCTGACCTCAACAGCCATTTACAAGTATTTGTTGCAAGAGCATGTCTCAGACTTCTCTTGCATGCAGTTCTATTTATAACACAAACAACTAATTTTGGCATGCATGATATCCAAAGAACAATTGGAAGAGCCTGGCATTGCAGGCTGCTACAGACAAGACAGACAGAAGGCAGGACTCAGAAAATCCTAAAAAGTGACAGAATTATGAAATCAGTATAAAATCTATGTGAACTAATAATTTAAATACCAGATTGAGGCACATACTGATTACATTATATGGATAATCTAAGCATGAAATCTTAATTTGAATGCATTCTTTCTGACATTAATACAGTCTGAACATAAGCAGTTAATCTTTAAAAAATCCTAACAAATGTGGAAAGAACATTTATTAAATTCTAAATGGAATCTTGAAAAAAAACAAACATTAAAGCACTAAGCACATGAGCAACACGGGGATGTTGGTATTCTATACTTGTGTTTCAGGGTTTTGCTTTTAAAGTACAATACTGTTTGGTAAAAACTACACTACTCACACATCATCAATAAAAGAACACAGTTCTTCAGTTAACACTCAAAACACTAGCAAGCACAGCCTATTCATATGGATGAAAGACAAAACTTGAAAAGAAATATCAGTATGTTTGGTTTCTGCTTTGCTGCTTATTTCAGCTATGTCAAGCAGACTGTGAAGAGGTCACCACATGTGACAAGTGGCGAGCTAGCCTCATGAACTGGACGTATTTGTTACATAGGTCAATTGTTTTAAATCAAAACCATTCAAGGTTACTAGCTGTAGTCTTTACCTGAAGCCTGAATAAGTGGACAATCATTGAATGAAAGCAAATGTGCTATGGGTACCAAAAGGGGCCTTTGCATAAATGAAGATTTAAAGGACTCTCAACTTAGAGGAAATAAAGTGTTTACACATATATAAAAATAATACCCTGATTATGAAATATGTTTAAATCATAGCAGACATCATCCAGGCTACCCAAGGTTCTCAAATTCCCAAAGCCTCATCTCAATTCCAGGCACTAGTACAATATGGGAATCCCACCACACTAGGAGGAACTCTGATGGCCTTAGATATAAATAGCTCAAAATACAGTATGTGAAACACATTTCAAACCTTCAGATTTTGAATTGAATGTTGTTAGTGAAGTTTCATCTTTAATAACTGCCCCATTTGTACTTGATGATTCAGTTTTAACAGCCTGCTGGGTTACCATAGTTTGCGTGCTGGAGACAGTACTGGATACAGAAGCATCAGGATTTACAGTTCGTTTGTCCAAGTCATGTAATTCACCTACATTTGCTGAAGTCTGAGAACCTTAGAAAAAAAAAATAATTAACCAGAACTCAATATTGATAACACCTAACAAATCTGGACTTGGTCTAATGGCTTTAGTTTCAGATAAAACCAGAGTTTAGCTCAGATTTAGGTTAGAATAGATCTGATTATAATTATTCCTAATGCTTTATTTAGCTATATAACTTAACAAGACTTTGTCTGCATAGTCATAAATAGATACATGTAAACAGTTACATTAAACCAGCAATTTCATTTGTTTGAAGCTTGCTATTCTGTATCTATTTTGTTACAAAAGGATTAATTAGCAAAAAAAAATAAAAAATCGACACAAATCGTTATCATAGATTTGTAGCAATCGATTTAAGATTAACCACTGTGGGAGTCTATTATGTGGATCTTAGTGCTAAGTGAGAAACACTTAAATTACACTGTGAAGTAAATTAAAATCTAACTACCTGTAAATTACAGGAAACAGATCAGATGATTGAGTCTGTGTTCACCACACTGAACTCAAGGCATTTCAGTGAAATGCCTATGTCACAGAATCAGTGCCTAGTCATATTCTACTTCCTCTACAATCAGAAACAAACATGCTCCTCTCTACTTTGCCTAAAATTTTACATCAGCTAATAGCTTTTCTCTACTATTGAGGAAAAACTGTCAAAGAGAGCCTGGAGTTACTATCATCTTAATGTTGTAAAATTAATCTGGTCCTGTCAGTCTGTTCTTTGATGTTAAAAAGGGCTATTTATGTTTAAAGAGACACATCTGCCATCATAGCAATGAATATATTGCGTCCCTTGCAACACTTCAAACAACTTGAGATTTCATTTTTCCCCATATCTTCTAAAAATATGTACAGCAACAACTAGCACAAGTTGGTTGGTTTTAAACTACAAAGGCCTCTAAAATAATGTTACATTGAAAGGCAGAAATAACCTAATGTTTATGAGATTAATTTTAACTCTCACTTTTTAATTAATTTTTATTCCATAGTTATCTTACTTGAAGTACAAACAGGCAGAAGAGAAGAGGCATTTGATTCTTTGAATCCTGTCTCATCTGCATGGTTTTTCATAGTCTCCTGAGTAATCTTGTTTTCAGAGGCTGCAACCTTTTCTTTTCCTTCTACTTTTAATAATGAGTTGGATGAAAGGGAAACTTGGACCTAACAAAACAATACATTTGTTAATGTTCAACTGCAAAGTTCAGAAATTTCAGTTGCAAACATGGTATGAAAATGCCTCCTCAAAAACAACAAACAGAAATCCTACAACAAATCCCCCTAGCAGTTAAAATTAAAACAAGAAACCAACACCACAATCCACCTTATCTTAGCCATTTAAGCAGTCTTTAATCAAAGAGTTAAAGTCAAAGCTGACTTAGAAGTGTCCCTGACACATACTACATTTTATCTGAGAAGAAGCTCACATTCTTACAGGCAACTTCATTGAAATGTACATTTACTCTACTGGCTATACTTGAGAGGATGAGGAAAAAAAAATTCACAATTACAGACACTTTCACCATTTGCTTTCCTGGCACATACCTAACATAGTTCTACTGTTAGTAAAATTCATAGTATTTCTACGTGTGTTTTTTACAAGAATACTTTATGGATCCCATAATGACCTGAGGTCTTAAAACAGTTAAGAAAAGGTCTAAATTTCTAAAAATGTGATTACTTTGCCAGAGTTCTTTCCTCCCTTTTTAATTGTTAAAACAGTGGAACATGAACAACTGCACCACCAGAATAGACAATTGGGTTTATAGTACAGTAGGAACCTACAACTAAGCGTACTAGCATAAAAATACTAAAAAAGAAGGAATATGCCTTATCCATCTTTCCTCTCACATTAATTTCACCAACATTTTGAGGATGGATAGTATTTCTACTGGCATCAGGCTCTCAGTTAGCATTCTGGAAGTCAATACAGTTGCAGTTTCCATTCTGCATTACCAGGAAGAGGACTTTAAAGACTGTCAATCAAAAAAGTAAGAAGGATGTATGAAAACAGACACAACTACTTCAGCAGATGCCCTTTTTTGTTTTGTTTGAGTTTGTGTTTTTTCTAAGGCCTAAAAGGTATGCAGGGACTTTTAAAACTGAGAAAATGTTTTGGCAGTTTTTACACTTTCCACACTACTTTGCCACCAAGGCATTTTTCAGTTTAAACTTACATTATTGGGAATGACATTATTTGTTTGGCTGGGATGATCCACCTTCATTTCTGGACAAGGGACATTAGGCAATGATTGAGGACTTTGACATAGAGAAGAGCCACCTTTCAGGTAAACAAAAGCAAATTCCAATCAGTTACATAAAACTTAATATTATGTTGGTTGGAATCTATTTCAGAAAGCAAGAGGAAGACCCAAAATGGCCTAAAGGAAGACTTGGTTCTAAGACCAAAATGAAACCATATGGCCAAACAATCAGATAAAATCCCTTTCTCACTCTTTCCTTTTTCAAGTAATTTCCAGCACTCTACAAATACATTCATATTCAGATAGCTAGCCAAAACTAACAGACACAAGATAAAGCTGAATTTTCCATAATTATGATGCATATATTTTGCATATATCCAAAGAAGTAGTGTCTCTCTCTCAGAATCATTATTATTAACTTGTATTAATTACGTATGCAATCCTCTATCTTTTGACAAACATTACTGTCATGTAATCTGACTACTACCTTGCAAACTCGGCACTGATGTCTCTGGAACCCCAGTACCAGGTATTCCAGCCACTGATGGCACTGGTGAGTCAGCATGTAATTGAAGGAGATATCCTTCAACTGTAGGTACTTCATCCCACTTCACTTGAAAAGAGTTGGTTGTAGCTCTAATCAGCTGTACCTGTGATGGTGCTGGAGGTCTCTCTAAAAGAAACCAATGAAAAACAGATGGCATGTTGGAAATTGCTCTCCTTTATCCATTTAAGAAATATTTATATAATGCAAGCAAAATTGGTATCTCCTTTTTCACTTATGTACAATATATACCACATTCAACAAGAAACTGCTGTCAAACGTGGCAACTCAAGCCAGAGAATTATGAAGTGTCATTCTCTAGAGCATTCAAAATGCTGAAGTTTTGATGTTTTCTTTGTTTTTTAATGCTCTGCTGCTGCCAATAAGTCTTTGGGTTGTATTTACATCACTAGGGGGATTACAGAGGTAAGAGACCCTCCTCCTTTCCTAAAAGGCTGTACACAGCTCTTTGGCTCCTAAAGCTTTAAGTAGTCCTGGAAATGACTCAGAGAAGATTGTGCTTGCTTTTTGCTCAGTTGCTGTAGCTGAAGTCAGCTTTCCCTAGGCATGATTCAATGCCAATGACCTGTTCCTCTCACTTGCCTTGATCCCTGACTAGGCTTCACTCTCAAGCACAGCCCTTCCCTGCTACTCCTTTTCATCTTCTGACCTTCCTGAGGATAAAAACAAAACAAGAAAACCAATATCCTAAATATTTCACAATCTCCAATAACCATTCTCATGCTTCCACTTCAGCAGGCAACAACTCCTTCCCAAAAGCACTATTCTAGTTCCCTTCCTCTCAATACTATCTTGATGTCCTGCATCAAGCTAGCTACTAATAAGTAATTAGTGCTCCAGAATTGCCTTCAGCCCCAGGAACAATTTGATCCTTTCTCAGATTCAACAGTATCTTTTTGCAGTCCAAGAGATGAGGAAGCAGCAGCAGCAATGATCCCAAGAGAAGGAGGGGGGTGGTAAAAAAAAAGTAAGTAGCAGCAGAACAGATCACTAAGATGAGAGGGCAGAAGCCCTGAGCTGAGGTAAAACACTCTTTAGTACCTTCTATCTACTGACCATGGCATGCAATGCAGAATTGAGACACAAAGTTCTTTCAGCAGCTTCAAACAAGCCTTCCTAATTTCTTCAGTTTATGCTGTAGCTGTAGCCTTCAAATAGTCAACAGTGAAGTACATTTTATTTAAATAAGCTTTTAAATTTAAAAAAAACTTTGAGTTTGCCACAACTTTAGATATTTTGATCATTAGTAATGCTAGCTTCACATATTAATAAAATATGGAACACAGTACAAGTCTCTTATTTATATATGACTCACCAGTATCAAGGTACCAAAGATCTTTGCAGCAAACTTGATTGTTCCAAGCTTTTCTGTAACCATCTCTACCACTCCAGATATATAGACGAGTGCCAACTGCTACAGCACAGTGTCCTGCTCTTGGCCCTGGTAACAAGTTACTTTTGTCCTCCTGGCAATCTGAGATCAGACCTATCCATTCTGTGGTATCTAGTAAATGAAACTCAAAACATTTAGTTTCTAGACATTTTCCAAGACAAGTAATACAGATGTTAATACACTTAACTGCTCAGAGAAAACGAAAATAAATCACCACTGTTATTACAGACAATTGCATTTAAATTTGCAATATTACAAAGAGCATGTTGCAGGTTTGAAAGATATATTCAACTAATACAGGGTGAATTTTCTGACCTCTGGTTGTCTCCCTCAGGCAAACACAAGATTCAGTGATAGTACTGATGTCAGTTATTAATTGAAATAAGTAAAATTGTGGGGAAAAAAATTACATTTGGGGAAAAAAAAAAAATCACATAAAAAAAAAAACCAAAAGAGACATGCAGAATAAAACCCAGAGCTTACATAACAGTGAAACAGAAAGAATTAGAGAAAACCAGATCCCAATTAGAGAAAAACACATCCCAAGTAGTCAACATCCTGCTCTTGAGACAGGCCTACAGGACACCTGCAAGACAGATGAAAGGGGTGGAAAGGAGCACTCCCCACAGCTTATCTTGGTTATGGCCTTGAGCACTAGGTAGAAAACACCGAGTAATTGGATTTGCCATATTAAAGTATCATTAATACATTAATGTGCTATTAGCATGCTAAAACACCCACCCATAGGCCAGAGGGACCCCTACCAACAGAGAGCCCCCTGCTCTTTGAGCATTCCAAGTGACATTTTTGAGCACTGCCACTTTAAATGGACATGAAGAACTCGTTAACCAATCATGTGTGCGAATTATAGCACATAATTAATGATACATTTATTTTTCACATTTTTGGGTATAAAAGTAGCACTTGTGTTTCAGGAAGCTGAGTTTGCTTTGTGGAATACCACCCTGTTCCCTCTTCTGTGCAGAACTGGATATTAAGGCAAATATCTTGGCTCTGTGTGTGGATTGGCTTCTTGCACACCAGGTAATGGACCCCGCTTTTGGGACAACATTTCTATCACATTTAGAAAAAACTAATTTTAGGATCTGTCTTGTGTTCTACTGTAAATGAAGAAGGATCATCTGTATTACTTAGCATTAAAGTTGTATGAGCAAAGATTAGCATCACCAGGAACAATTTGATCCTTTCTCAGATTCAACAGTATCTTTTTGCAGTCCAAGAGATGAGGAAGCAGCAGCAGCAATGATCCCAAGAGAAGGAGGGGGGTGGTAAAAAAAAAGTAAGTAGCAGCAGAACAGATCACTAAGATGAGAGGGCAGAAGCCCTGAGCTGAGGTAAAACACTCTTTAGTACCTTCTATCTACTGACCATGGCATGCAATGCAGAATTGAGACACAAAGTTCTTTCAGCAGCTTCAAACAAGCCTTCCTAATTTCTTCAGTTTATGCTGTAGCTGTAGCCTTCAAATAGTCAACAGTGAAGTACATTTTATTTAAATAAGCTTTTAAATTTAAAAAAAACTTTGAGTTTGCCACAACTTTAGATATTTTGATCATTAGTAATGCTAGCTTCACATATTAATAAAATATGGAACACAGTACAAGTCTCTTATTTATATATGACTCACCAGTATCAAGGTACCAAAGATCTTTGCAGCAAACTTGATTGTTCCAAGCTTTTCTGTAACCATCTCTACCACTCCAGATATATAGACGAGTGCCAACTGCTACAGCACAGTGTCCTGCTCTTGGCCCTGGTAACAAGTTACTTTTGTCCTCCTGGCAATCTGAGATCAGACCTATCCATTCTGTGGTATCTAGTAAATGAAACTCAAAACATTTAGTTTCTAGACATTTTCCAAGACAAGTAATACAGATGTTAATACACTTAACTGCTCAGAGAAAACGAAAATAAATCACCACTGTTATTACAGACAATTGCATTTAAATTTGCAATATTACAAAGAGCATGTTGCAGGTTTGAAAGATATATTCAACTAATACAGGGTGAATTTTCTGACCTCTGGTTGTCTCCCTCAGGCAAACACAAGATTCAGTGATAGTACTGATGTCAGTTATTAATTGAAATAAGTAAAATTGTGGGGAAAAAAATTACATTTGGGGAAAAAAAAAAAATCACATAAAAAAAAAAACCAAAAGAGACATGCAGAATAAAACCCAGAGCTTACATAACAGTGAAACAGAAAGAATTAGAGAAAACCAGATCCCAATTAGAGAAAAACACATCCCAAGTAGTCAGCATCCTGCTCTTGAGACAGGCCTACAGGACACCTGCAAGACAGATGAAAGGGGTGGAAAGGAGCACTCCCCACAGCTTATCTTGGTTATGGCCTTGAGCACTAGGTAGAAAACACCGAGTAATTGGATTTGCCATATTAAAGTATCATTAATACATTAATGTGCTATTAGCATGCTAAAACACCCACCCATAGGCCAGAGGGACCCCTACCAACAGAGAGCCCCCTGCTCTTTGAGCATTCCAAGTGACATTTTTGAGCACTGCCACTTTAAATGGACATGAAGAACTCGTTAACCAATCATGTGTGCGAATTATAGCACATAATTAATGATACATTTATTTTTCACATTTTTGGGTATAAAAGTAGCACTTGTGTTTCAGGAAGCTGAGTTTGCTTTGTGGAATACCACCCTGTTCCCTCTTCTGTGCAGAACTGGATATTAAGGCAAATATCTTGGCTCTGTGTGTGGATTGGCTTCTTGCACACCAGGTAATGGACCCCGCTTTTGGGACAACATTTCTATCACATTTAGAAAAAACTAATTTTAGGATCTGTCTTGTGTTCTACTGTAAATGAAGAAGGATCATCTGTATTACTTAGCATTAAAGTTGTATGAGCAAAGATTAGCATCAGCAAGCCTGCTGAATGTTCAAATAAAAATAACAATAAAAATATCACTGACATTTTCTTTAGTCAGCTAGGATTACAACTGTGTATCCTAAAACTTTTCTTGGGGTCTCAAAAATTCTTACTCTACTCTGTTAGAAAAGTATTAATTGAAAATGCCCATTCCCAGAAAGGCAGAAACACTGACCCAAATTAAGATAAGAAAATGAACCAGTACATTTCCATTCACCATCATGAGCAGAAATTTCACCTCCTGCTGACTGTGGAACCCATCCACCAAAAACATACATTCTGAAATAGAGGAAAAGAGGGAGGAGGGAAAAAGAAAAGACAAGCCAATTAACATCCAGATCTGCTGCATGTGCTCTCTCAAACTAGGACAAGACAGAACATTTCCAGCGCTTTCAGTTCTGGTTTATAGCAGATTTAGTGTGTAGTCTCTTTAGAAAGCATTGTTGCACACATGTATCTTCTGAAATTTTTAGTAAGTTAACCGATTTTAAAAAAACAATTTAAAAAAGCCCACCCCAAACTCCTCAAACAACATCCTGAATTAGCACTATATCTTTTTTACAAAACACCAAACTGCTAACAGTCTGCAAAAATCACACATTTACATGGAACTTCTACAACCTTTACTACACACCTTTTGATAAACTATTTTAAAATGAGAAGACTGGTATGTAAGTCAGATACCAAAATTGAGAAACATGAAGCAGGCTACAAACTGGTTACATTTTATATAAATAACATACAGCTAAGCTCTTGGATCAGAAGATACAAAGCTTTCACACTTCTTTCCCTCCCTTTGCCTCTCTCTTCACACCAGCTTGTAAAATGATATAAAATGGACAGAAATCCATGTTTAGAAGTTCATTTTATCAATGCTATCTGCCAAAAAGCAAAGTAATGTGGAACAGACTACAGAAAAACTGGCCCATCAAAATGTGGAACAGTTTTGCTTAGAATTAGTTCTACACTTTGGGCAATTCCTTTGTGTAGCTAGTTCACTGTGTCACGGACACAGAGATGCTCCAGTTGACTCCTAACAAAGACAGCTCAGGTTCAGAATCTGCATCCCAGGATGCAGAAAGAAGCCCAGGTGTATTAGGAAGCCCAAAAAGCTGCTTGTGGGTTGGGCAGATATGGATACACTGACTGTGTGATAACTTAAATTAACAAACAGTACTTTTTAATTTCCACTGAGGTAGGATAACAGAAGCAGAAAAGTTCTCTACGAGGCTGATGGTTTATACTGAGCAGTAGCGCATAAGCATCATCATTCTCCTACTAAGTGTACCTTTCTAGAGTTGAGCTTTTAACAACAGACATACTTGTTTCCTATTACATTGGCTGTATGAAGACTGCGAGGAAGTGGCACTGTCCCTTTAGTTTCTGGTCTTGACCAGGTCATGGTTTCTAAAAGAAAAAGAATAAAAAGCCTCAAGCAGCTTATCACTGTGTATTTCAGTACCTGGATTTAGGACGTAATATTCCTCCAACGTTCAATAAAACTAAATTTCACCTTTTTGAGATAGCCACTTTAAGAAAGAATGTGCAAAAAAATCAATTTAAAGCTTCTTTTAAAATTCACAGGAAATACTAGTAAACTAATTGTTTATCAGTTTATTAAAAAGATATATTACGGTTTCATTATGGTTACTCAACTTGGCTATCACAGTGACAGTCTTTAATGGTCTGTAAGGAAATAATCACACAGTGTAACCAAAATCAGTGAAGATACTATATGCAAACAGTGCTGTATATATTTATATTTAAAAATTACAAAAGGTTAACAGTATGATGTGAGTCTCAACAGTATCTGTACCACATCATGCAATTAATCATTATATACTGCAATTTTTCCTCTAAGCCAATGAGGCCCCTGCACTGACTTTTACTGGCAAATCAACTCACCTATGTCAAGTTCCCAGAGATCATTCAGCCGACAGCCACACATCCCTCCAAAAATATAAATCTTTGGACTTCCTAAATCTTTTCTGCAGTATACGATGGCTGTGTGAGATTCTCGGGGAGATGGCAAGATCCCTTTGGTTACAGGAATACTCCAGCCAACAACTCCAGAACCGTGTTGCAGCTCCAGTTCATAGAAATCATTTAAATATCTAAGATATCATTGACAACGTAGGAAAAATTTGCTTATTAGCAAGCTTACAAATGAGCTTTAAACCCTGATCACTTCCAAGTGTTACAGACTTCTGTCTTGGAAGATTTTTAAATCCCAAAACATTTGCAAGCATTTTGGACAGTACCAAAACTAAGTGGATTTAAAAGAAAAAAAAGAACTATCACAAGTTGTTTCCTCTAAGGAAACATGCTTTTGTATCACTTGATACACTGTATTACATGAAAGAAACATTCAAAACTGGTAAATAACATTCTTAGCAGAAAATACTAAATATGGACAAACCAGGAATAAGCTGCAAAGTTGTGAGAAATATACAATGACATGGGACACTAGAAATTAATTTCTCCAATTCTAAGGCAACAAAGGTGAAAAGAAGGAATTTATCTTCTGATGCCTTCAAGCTAGCCAACAGACAATTAGCCATTTGTTGCTCACCTTTTCGCAAGTTATTTTTAGATACCTATCTCTGAATCTTGGCATTCACACCAGATACCTCTTGTTTACTGCACTAAACAGTAACGTGTCACAGCATTGCAGGGGAAACTTCAGCTGTGAATTCCCTGATGACTGACGAGTCTTTGCTTCTAACAAACAAGCCATTCTTAAAAACATCACCTGAAATACTAGGAAAAATACCAAAGTCTACTCAGGTTTTCCTCCAAAAGTGCTAGACCTGTCAATCAGTGTTACATATTGTGGGATTAGCAGAAGAAATACTTAACCTTCTTAGCATGGAACCCCTCCACTGCACAAATAATACTGTTGCAAGTACTTGGTACACGCAACAGCTACCCTAGAATGTTTCTCTTCTAAGTTGTAGTATCTAATAATTTATTTTTAAAGACATTGAATTTAAATCAAAAAAGCATACCTGGGAACATTATTATTGGAATCCTCACTTTCATTTGCCAGGCCACCAAATAAATAGCACTTGTTACCATATAAAGAAAAGCTGTGGCCAAGCCGAGGACAAGGTGGTGATCCAGTGGAAGGAGCTTGAGGTTTTACTTTTTTCCAGAGCCATCGACTTGCCTTAAAAACAAGAAATATATATTCAGAAATACCTTAATTTATAGTCATAGTCAATCAAACTCGGTCATATATTTTCTGACTTATTTTTAAGGGAATGATGGGCTTTCCTAAGGATATATGTTAAAAGGGAGCTAACCTTCACAAAACACTAAACATTTGACACTTTATTTACACTATATGGTAGTCTCTTTTTCAAAGTTATTTGGATTTTCTCCATCTTTAGAAGCTATTTAAAGAGCTTATTATTCCTGGACACCAGCAAAATTCATCTAACTTCCTTCTGCAGTTAGTACTATAAAATATGTTTGTTCATAAACAGATAAATAAAGTAGTCCCGAAAACTGAAAAATCTTCATACATTTCCTACCTGTAATTCATATAAATCATTACTGTATCTTCCATATTCGACCATTCCTCCAAAAACTAGTATTCTGGTACCATCACAAACAAATCCATGTGCTGCGCAGCCTGGAGGAATATCTCCCCTGACGGCAGGAAGGAACCACTGATTTGTAGCTAGAGAAAAAAAAATAGAAAAAAGAAGATATTTCAAACAATGAGAAGTGTATTTTTAAACACCTCTACTTTCTAAAGAACAACCTTTCACCTGTAGATAACTGTGAATGGCCTGTTTGTTTAACACAAAGATCTAATTTAATTAAACTTTTTTTTTTTAAATAAGAAAAGCAAACACCTCTATCAATGTTATTCCATCTGTGAATGAGCACATGAGGTCACTGTAACTATGTCAGTTACCAAGGGTCAACCAGAAATGTGATTTTGGCAATGACTTGCCAAAGAAAAGGCTAATAAGGAACATAAGTGCAATTCTACACAAGAGATAACTAAGCTAATTCAGAGGAAGCTAGCCCTAGAAACAGAATTACTACAGCTACAGCAGCATGGCAGCCTGCCTGGACTTAACAGCTCTATTGAAAAACTAATTACACTGATCTGGGACCAATATTAATATCTACAGAGCACTGCATTGAAAGAGCAACTGAGACTGCCTGATCCAGCAGCAGCATATTGGTGTTCAAACTGTTCTGGTATGGAAGAATTACAGGAGGGATTGTCTCCTTTATCCTAAGCCTGTTTTGATGAACACACAGTGTGAAATTAGAAGCTTCCAGAGAACACTGCTGCAGGAGATTAACAGCCCTTGCTGTGTGGTAGTTCCTCATAAGTTACCACACTCATAAGAAAGAGCAATGCTTGACATCCCAAACTCAGACAACCTGGGTCACAACCCTGCATCTTGGCCTCCAGACAAAAAAAAAAAAAGTCAGTTTGGGACAAATACCCATCTGGAAACTGGAACAACTGAGCTGTGAGCTTTTCTGTCACCACCAAAAAGTGGAAACACCTTTAGCAGAAAGTCTGGGCACAAAGAAACAATAAAAAAATAGAAGTGATGTTAAGACTCACTCAAGAGGTACCCATCAGAACCTCTGTTCTGAAAGACAGTATAATTGTACTACCTAAAACCTTTATTTAGATTATTCATCCAAACAGAAAGGTTTGGGTTTTTTCCCCCCAAAAAATGTGATTGAATACATCAGGACTTTAAGCTACCACGGAAAAATCTGCTTCGAAGAACTCTTAACAACAACCATTTTCCTCTTAATAAACTTCAAAACCCTGCAAAATATGTTTGTGCTGTCAGATTTTATCTCAGAAACACCCAGAAAAAAATACTGTAATTTTTAAAATATTTATTTAGGGGGTGGGAGGCATAAGAATAATTTTTGGATGCTTAAAAGTTAGCACGTTAAAAGGCTAGTTAACACGCTCTCACTTTCATGCTTTTGGCAAAACTAGAAACTTCTAGTGAACAGCGCTGCACAAGCAGCCAGGAGGGGCTGACTGAGAAGCACAGACCAGCCACCTCACGGGCTCTCCCATCTCAGCCCAAGCTCTGAAATCACACAGAAGCTCTCTAGCCTCACACAGCATCCCGTGCAGTAACTACTCAGGTATCTCATCTTTCACGACTAAAATCGGCCTTGGGCAGCTTCCCGTTTGGAAAGGCTCCCAATGCCAACATGTTCACTTTTCTACCCAAGATGTCCATTTCAGCCTGCTCAGCCCCCGCGGGCGGCCGCCAGAGGGAAGCAGGGGGAGCTGGGCACTCCAAGGGGCTAATCCAGCCGAGACCTGCCCGGGGAGACACTGCACCCCGAGACGAGAGGCTGGGGAAACAGAAAAGACCCGAAGCACAGGAAGAGATCATCCAGGTTTCTTTTTCCCCAGAAAGAAGCATTAACCCCACCACATCAGCCAGGGGGCCGCACAGCCCCGGCAGGACCCCTGGCTCGGGCGGTTTCTCCCTCCATCCCGCGTCCCGTGCGGGCCCCGGGCAGCTCCCCGGCCGGGCACAGCCCCTGCGGGCCCCGGGCAGCT